ATATGGCCTCTATAGCAAATGAAAGGGTTTCTGCAGTAAATAATATGGTTTCTCTATTACGGTAAGGAGTGTTTTCTGGCGCTTGGAGCCTTCAAAGCCTGAGCATCAAAAAGAGTTTCATGTTCAATTCCTTACGTGCCTTACGATTCCCCATGACGATTTGCAAGGATGAACCTCATGAGCATCCTCGACTGGGACATATGGAGCCCCTACACTTGGCTGGTGAGGCTGGCCCAGGCGCGGTTTCCCGGGCTGGGAGACTTAGAGGTTCATGGGTAGTTCTAAGTGGGGTTGCAAGTAGGGTAACCATAAGTTCAACCCATATTAGGGGACTTATAACCCCGCTTACAGCTACCCACGAACCTCCAAGTGAGGGGTTTGCGGAAGAAGTCTCTGCCACCTGTCGGCTGCTCTTGTAAAGATCGGGATGCTCTGACTGTCTTTTACAGCTTAGGCGCTCTCTTGGATAGTTTTGGATAGTTTTTGCACATGGCATGAAGAACTTAGAACTTAACAGCGCAACACTAAACTTGTTGAGGGTGCGTGGCTGCCAGAGGCTGTGCTGGATCGTCGGCGCCGGCGGCTCGGCACGACCATTCTCGACACGGAGCTCGGAGTAAACCAATCCCTAGAGGACATCGACTGTGGTTGTGTTTGCAATTTTCTGCAATTTTTGCGTTGACGCAGTGCTCCGTGAGTCGAGGACTTCGGGGAGTTTGCTGAAGGCATCGAGATGCATCTGGCCACTCACCGGGGACACCTAGAGAAGCTCGCGGGCTTCTTGGCAGATCTTTTGCCCCTTCTGTGCGTAGGCTCATGCTCAGATGGAAACTGCCAAGGCGTGATGAAGCCGATGCATTCTCGACCATCTCACAGACGCTTGATGTCGGAGATCAATGTATGGGAAGATCGAGAGAGGCGTCGCCTAACTGCTATTGCGAGAGGACTCTCTGTCCTTGACAGCATCAACTCCGCCATCGTCGGCGTGCTTCCGATCCCAAAGTTCGCCTTGGAAGGAAAGCTGTTGAGATCCAGGCTCTCCCTCGGACGCATTGCGCCGTCCGTAAAGCCTTCCGCATCCGGCAAGCTCAGCTTGCCATTGGCTTCCTCAGCATCAGCTTCTTCGACTTCTTCAACATCCGGAGCTGCGACTTCCACAGCTCCACCAGGGAGTGTCAGCTCCACCGCAGCCGCCACGTTTGAGGGTTCGCCTTATGCAGGAGTTGTGCACCGGTACATGCTCATGATCAAAAATGTGCAGATTGGTCTTGGATGTACTCATGTCCTTAGTTAGGTGCCTTGCTTGGAAGCCATGGCACGTACTACGATCATGTACTGCAGGATCTGCGAATGAAACAGCAGCGTGTAGCAGCTCCGACTGCTGCTTCCAGCGATGGCGCTTTGTCGTGTCCAAAGTTCGCTCAGGCTGAGTTCCCACCCTCTGCTGAAATGTGGGTCCCTACAGCGGTTGAACGAAGTAGACCTACCTTTGGTTTGAGGCCGCAGGGTTTCCCCGTTGCAAGACAATTCCATGGTTCGGGCCTGGTTGAGTCGAACCACTCAACTCTCTCAACACCTGGAGAGCCCTAACAAGCGGTTGCATTTGGAGGCCTTGCCAGCACTGGTGTGAGTCTGGCGGAGTTGACGTTGTTTGGGGAGGACAAGCCGATCACTGCGCACCCACAAGCAGAGACAGACGGCTCTGATTCCAAGCTGAATCAATGCTCGCCGGTTCGGCCTACAGGGTTCAGGACTTTGGGGTCCGGAAGTCACCATAGGGAACCCTAGCGGAGTGTACCGCACCTGCCTGGCATACCGAAACCTCGAAGTCCGAATCCTGGAGCCTGGACATTCTGCACTTGAAGTCTTGAACTTCAAGGCACCCCGCATCAATTTCCAAGCTCTGAAAGCTGACAAAGACAGTACTTAAGGAGCTGCCGGGCTCCGAGCCGTCTCGTGCCTTCGATGGGAATGTCGCCAGCAGCTGGACCAACAACGCCCTCGTTCCGCTTGTCTTCGCTTTTCCATCCCTGGGCGCAGGTTTGCGGTCTCGAGCTTTGGAATTTAAGGGAGTCGGCTGGGGCGTCTTCGGACGAGCTTGGTGTTGTGATTCCCGAAACATGTACTCTGTCATGTTGCAACCAAGGGCTTGTCCACTTTGGACAAATGCGGATTCGTTTGAATTTTGATTCCAAGCTCGCAATGTTCTGTGCAGGTCTCCTGTGGCCGCGGTGGGCTTTCGGCTGACCACCTCCACTGCTAGCACTCGCAAAGCGCCTCGGCGACCGGGGTAGGGGGGAAGAGACAATCGGCAGGTCCTGACCAGTATTGCCACTATTCCCGAGATCGATCTAACAAAGGATCCTGTCCGGTGGAGCCTCGAAGCATTCGACGGCGAGTCCTGGGCAGAAGTGCATGCGCAGAAGCTGACGGACTTCCAGATGCCTGCACGCCGCAGTGTGCCGTGACAGGCATAGTCTCGCTTTTACAGATCGCGCCCTTGCTGTTGCTATGTCCCGCCACCGAGAGTGTCCTGACAATCGCAGCACTTCTTGTGAACCCGAGCTGAGGAGAACACCGGTGTTTTGCCAATAACCTGCGCGAAACAAACCATCCGAGCGACTACTTCCGCCGCCATGGGTGTGGGCCGTTTCATGTTCACACTTGTTCTGGCTTGCTTTACCTTGTTTAGCTTGTCTCTTAAACTTTGACTTCCGTAGCAGCGAAGCTGCTAAATGGAGTAAGTCTGAGTAAGTATCGGTGTGAGCCCCAGCCAAAGGCAGGGTGACCCGCTGTTCAACTGTGTATACCATCATACCAGCATGGCCCAATCTGGAGCAAAGAAAACGGTTGCACTGATGGCTTAAGAATAAGCAACTTATCACCTGTCAGCTGGGCTTTTCGAGTCGGCGGCACGATTCTCCAGGATTCCGCAGCATTTGCAGTTGCACCACAAGGCCAAGAATGAACAATAAAAAACACAAGAAGAACAAAGTCTTAGCAAGCCAAATCCCTCCTCGCCACGGCTGGTGCAGAGTTCCTGGTGCGACTTTGTCTGTGGCCATGGGTGCTGTCCCAAAAGCTAAGTTGAACAATGCCCTGGAAGATTTTCGAAGGGGTGAAGATGATGCTGAAGATGATGTGTTGCAGCTTCGCAGTTCATGATACTCGTTCTGATCATGCTTGCACAGTAAGGGACATCTCTGAGAATCATGAGCTTGCGCACATGCTTTTCGACAACAATAATCTCGAGTACGATTACACATACTACTTAGAGTGTTGCACAAACCTGCTACGAATAAACTTGCAGCATGCCGTGAACTTTCGCGCGAACCCTGAGTGGTTCTCTGCGTTCCGGGGTTTTGGCGCATGGAACGAGGTCTTCTCTAGTCTGGCAAGATTGCTTGCGCGGCCTGTTGCCGCTGTCATGTTGGAATTCTGGGTGTCGTGTGAACCGCAGCCATGATCGGGCTTTCAAGATGTTGCCGCCAATGCCAGTTTTGAAGGAAGCCGAGCGGTCATCAGTGCAGAAGCTGTTCCTATCCCCTGTTCGGTGACCACGTGTCGGCTGCTCACTTGAGACATGGGCACCTGCACAAGCAAGGGCCACACCGCTGTGCCAGTTTCTCTTCACAGGCTCGTTTCGACCGGAAGTCTTGGCAAAGGGTGGCGTGTTTTAGGATGGCCTCCAGCTGGAAAGCATCATAGTTTGTCATGTCCATGGTTTGTTGGGAATTGACCGGACTGACTTCGGCTTGAGGTTTCACGTGTCATGGTTCAAACTCGTAGGCCGGACGGCGATGAGCCCTGAGCTCCCCTGCAGGAAGGAGTGCCCGATGTGGTTGGTGCATGTCTCCGATGTCTTGAAGATGTCAGGAGCTCCTTTGCCTCACGAGGAGACAGCAAAACCCGATTTTGTGTGGTCACCAACTATCATCGTTTACCATTTACAACCTGTTCAACAGACATAATCACGGTGAATCAGCATTCAACAGTACTTCGGGCATCCTATTGAGTGTTTTGAAGATGGTTTCGACAGAACCCGGGAGGAGCTGCGCAGCTCTGGGCTCCTACGACAGCACGAACCACGCCTCTTCACAATCTTCGTTTCTCACCAATGGTTAGGCAGTCGTGGGGTGGTTCAACAGCGTTTCCGGCGTCGTAGCATGTTTTGGCAGGTCAGGTTTTTGGCTTGGATTGAGATAGGCAGACCCGAGATGCTGGAGGAGTCAGTAGTATGCTCGGCCTTCATGGTGATAAGACGTTGCGAGGCCGCTCTCATCCTGACGAACAAGGACTTCAGCTCGGCGTGCTTCGCAGCTTGCTGCAGCGTCTCATCGACGGCCGGCAGGCTCTGCAGGAGGAGAATCCAGGGCTTAGTCCAGTAAAGACATTGTAGCCATCGGCCAGAAGAGGGTAGATAGAAGTGCTGTAACAGAACTGCATCTCGATTGTGTTTGCCTTTGCGATGAGTTGGTCGTAGGGTTGTTGGATGTTCTTGGTTTTTGCCGGTGGTGGTGGCTGTCGCGTGAATACTGTCAGCAACAGGCAAGAGCAGTAGTTGCAGCAGTGGTAGCGGTCGTGGCAACAGTCGTCGTCGTAGCCGCAGCAGCAGTTGAAGTAGCAGCATCAGAGAACAGTCGTGATGGACGGCGGCTTAGAGTGCATATCCGGAGGACCTCATCACTCAGTGCATTATCGGGCAGAGGAGGCTCACGGCGACCGAGCGCTCGCAACTGAAAGATGCGTATATTTGGATGGACTGGTTTTCAATTCCGCAGGATGTGGCAAGAGACGCGGGCTCATTCCATGCAGCTGTAGCATCCATTCCGTGCTATGTGGAGACCTGCAATCTGTTCGTGGCTTTGGTGCCCCCATTGCAGCACAGCTCTGGACAGCCGTGCAATTACGGCTCCTACTTGCAAGGGCTCGAGCGACAGCAGGTTGAGGTAGGCCTCTCCGCCTTGGCACCCTAGGTGTACCTCTGTCATAGGAGCGCAATGTCGACCCCTCATGCCGCGTGGATCTCCGCGGCGGTGAAGGCGGCATGCCAGTCGGGAGCTCCGCGCCGGACCGTTGCGGCAGTGGCCGCGGCAGTCACAACTGCAATCCTGCAGCAGACTGCCAAGGCCACACCGGCAAGGACCGTCGAGGAGCACACTGGCACCGCAGCTGCTGGGCTTTCTGGCGACTGCGAGGCCCTGGCTGAGCAACTTCGGGAGGCTCGAGCCAAGAAGCGCCGCGACAAGCGGCAGAGGCGCAGAGACCGTGCACAGGCCGCTGCCAGTCCTGTTCCTCCCACGGCCGGGGGAGACGGCCGCTCTGAAGAGGCAGTTGAGGGGGCTGCCATGGAGGAGATGCCTGACACCACCGAGGACCCTCACCCGAAGCTTGAGACCGAACTGCAGTCGCCGCTCTCGGCTGGCAACTTGCAGGCTCGTGACGCGCAGAGCACTCCTGAGGCCCTTGCGGCTCAAGGCGTGCACTTCCTGCCAGAGGAGCGAGTTGTTCCCGACCGACGACCTTCGCTGGCCTCTTCTGCGCCTACGGACTTCGTGATTGAATACCACCAGCGCCGGGAAGTCGCTGAACGCGCTATGACCCCGACGGGGAGGGCTACACGCTTAGCCCCCATTGCCTCGCCTTCGCAACCTCAGCCGAGCACACCGAAGAGACGGAGACCACGGGCGCGGCCGTCTGGCGCCAGCCCCAAGGCTGGGCCAGGCCACTGAGTTTGAGCCAGGGTGTATGGGACTGCCCACCCCATGCGCTATTTATGCCGGGCACCTCAGGCCGCTGTTGAGGGAACTGCGGTCTTGGGACTTTTTCCCTTCCTTTGATCTGACCATGAAGATCCAATCTGTTCTACACACTGCGGACCATGGTTCGGCTACCTTGTGGGCTTCTTTTACAGTACTCTTTCTTGAGCGCGTCTAAACTACCAACCTTCGGGTACGGAGCAGGTTGACGTTGACAAGAAGTTCAAGTTCAAGTTGCTCCTACTTGCGAAGGGGCTGGTGTTTGGCAGAAATGTGGTGTCGGCAGCTGGGATGTAAGGCGGACTTGCCGATCGTTGTTGCGTTCAACTGGGACCATGCGGAGTTCATCATGCCAAGGGATTGGGTGCGGCAGTTACCACTCGAGGGTGAGTGGTCGGATGCATCAGACAAGGCCAGGGTCAGAGAGTTCCTTTTGATGTCCTTGGAAGCCAAGATTCAGCTCCTGGAGAACTCCAACGAGACAGATCTTTGTCGCTATTTGAAGGCACGCATCCAAGAGTTTTTGGTCCTTGAAAGTCCCCGACGCTCGGTCGGCTCCTTCCTCGCTCATTTCGGTTTTCAGTCGGAAGAGGAGGCCATTCGGCAGCGAGAAGGTATGGGCCCAGTCGCTTGTGCGGTGTTAAGCTGTGATATGGATATGCTACACCACTTTGCGGGTGCCGGTGCCCCAACCACCACCCGATTGCCGCTGATGCCTCTTGGTTCATGTCGGGCAGGTTTGCCTGAACCCGGGAAGCCTTTCCAAGTTCGCCAAGCCCATTCCTCCAACCCTAAACAAAATCCACTAACCCTTGTAAATCCTGACAACACTCCGCAATGCCCTCTAAGGTATGAGGTGGATCAAATGGCTGGCTACACACCCGTTCACCTTGCCGTGCTGGTTGGGCGAAGGACTCTGCTGCCGTTGGAAGAGCTTCTCCGCTTACGGGCAGACCCCAATACCAAGGACAGTCTGGAGATTTTGTTGTGCTCATGACAGTAATTCTGGTAGCTCTGCATGCGGTTTTGCCAGTCTGGGAAAGCCGAACAGTTGAACATAGCAGCCGTGCAGAACAGGAGCGTGACGATCAGCAAACTCGCCAAGAAATCATGAGAAGCATGTCAAGCCCAACAGCGCGAAAGCAGTCTTGTCCTGCACCACCTCCATCAACGTGGTTGTCATAATTTCCACCATAGAGGTCTTCGTTGTCGTGCCCACGCCATCATGACCTTAGCCAGCATCGTCATCATCACCCCTAGCCGTAGCCATCATCTCCATCTTCAGGTTGCCCTTCATTTTGAGGAAGCAGAAACCCTGCGAAAACGGGGTCACCTTTGGCGCATTTCACGACCTCGATCTCCTTGGACACTGGCCGGGGAAGCCTGATAGACAGAACTTGATAGAACATCTTGTTGTAGACGTTGTCGTGAAGCAGGCCGAGTGCTTTTCAAGGATGTCGCCATGATAACTTGTGTTTCTAGAGGATTAAGTGCCATCCGAGATTGTCGCACATGGACACTCGGGCCGGACAATTCACAAGGGATCCCGAATTGTTGGTCATGGGATAGGGTGGTTTCCATGTTGGGTCTGAAAAGGGGGTTTTCCATTTTCCGTGAGGACTCCATGGGGGCACCCGTGCTTGGCACTTGTCGCACTGTCGGGGCTGTGGAGCTTTTGCTACGGTACCGAGCTGATGTCAACCTCTGCGGCTTACCCACCAAGGCAGGTCATGAGTCCAGGGAGGTTAGATGAAGTTTGGGTGAGGGCCGATTCCAAGCAGATGGGATTCCAGTTGTGAGTTCTCCAGAAGCTTACACAGCTCGGCAAATCCGCCAAGGTACGGCAAGACGTTGTGTGAACGGGGTATTGGGGACTATCTCGTCTTACTTCTTCACAAGTTCTTGTAGTCGCTTTCATAGAGCTCAGGCGACTCCGCTGACGAGAGCGTGTGCCGGTCTAGCTCCGAAAGATGTGCTGGAAAAGCTTATCGACTCGAAGGCAGCGGCGTCGAACTCATTTTCAGTGTGGTTAGGGAGCGGGGTTTCGGTCCCCAAGTCCAGTGCTGAAGCTACTCCGGACAGGCGGCCATCAATGGCTACGGGGCTGGTCTCACGACAACTCCTTTGGCTAACCTGGTGAGCTTCAGCAAAGACACCCAAGAGGATCAGCAGCTCGTTTCGTTCCTGCTGCAGAGGAATGCGGATCCGAATTTTGCCCATGGCATCAGAGGCACTTGGAGGTTGTTGGAGCTGGGCTGCCGTGCGATGCAGCTTATGGGCAGGGAGGAGACGATGCTGCGGTACTTTGGTGAGGGAAGCACGACTCCGCTGGGTTATGCTGCTATAGCCGGGAATCCACAGCTGGTGTCCTGCCTTCTGTCTGCCAGAGCAGACCCCAATCTGCGCAATCGCCGGGGTAATACGCCCATGCAGCTTGCTCTCACGGCAAATGTGCAGATCATATTCCGACAGACCTGCGGGAGCTCTGCTGACTTCAATGAGGATGAGGATGACCCCATTGTCGAAGTTTCCTTTTAGCATCGAGTCTGCCAGCTTCGGAGCTAAAGATGAGCCGGCTCTCGAGCTTTGTAGGGGCAGAGGGCTTTCCTGAGCTACAGGTGTATGCCATGAGCACTTGGCTCATTCCGTCGCTGAGGCTTCGGAATCATTCTTGCATGGTAGCTCACCACGAGGTGCAGGATTTGGTGTTGAAATTATTTTCCGGGGCTGCCGGAGAATACAGCATGTGATGGGCATGTGGCTGAAGTAAAGTAAAGCAAGCATTTTCGTTGATAATCAGATAATCTTAAAATCGTCGACAAGATTGAAGCTATGAGCGAAGAGTTGCTAGCAAATCTGAGCAAACCCAACGATCTTGGGGCACGGTACAACAGTTTTCGTGGCGAATTGTTCCATGTTCACATGTGTTGCATTCATCTGCAGTTGCAGGGATGTTCATTCTTCGTGCCTCCTGAGATTCCAAGTCTGTGGCTGTTACGAAGATCGCCGGTGACTGGTAATGTTGAGAAGCGTTAGGTCGTTGTCATGACCGTCACACCTGAATTTCTAGTTGCTTGTTTAGTCAATTGCTTGCCGGCCTGAGGCAAGTCATCGCTTCATGAACTCTTGACCACGCAAGTAAGCAACTGCAGTAGCAGTAGTAGTAGAAGTAGTAGTAGCAGTAGTAGCAGTAGTAGCAGTTGTAGTAGAAGTAGCAGTAGTAGTAGAAGTAGCAGTAGCAGTAGCAGTAGCAGTAGCAGAGCAGTAGCAGCAGCAGCAGCAGTAGCAGTAGCAGTAGCAGTAGCAGTAGCAGTAGCAGTAGCAGTAGCAGTAGCAGTAGCAGTAGCAGTAGCAGTAGCAGTAGCAGTAGCAGTAGCAGTAGCAGTAAGTGTCTCGGCCCGAACGGTTTTTACAGTCTCCTCTCCTGGGGGTTGCTTGGTGCATGGTCCTTGCTTCTGGGTGACTGCACCGCGTAGAGGCATACTGCTGTTTTGGGAAGCTGCTCGGACAGATTGTCTTTCTTGGCTGTCCTCTTACGGGGCCTTCGGGCCGGGGGCATGCCAAGATCGATTGCTCAGTCATCATCGACGCACAGCAGCAATGTGGCCTCTTCGTCAGCTGGGGTTGCCAGCAGTTCTAGTGATGGTGCTGGTGGTGACAACCGAGATGAAGCTGCAGCAGCGGCGGCTCGGGAAGCGGAGCGTAAAGCTGCCACAGAGAGGCGCCATCTTCTGGACCAGGTTGCACGCCGAGCACTCTTTGAGCTCTGTATGTTATTCTGGGAAGCCCACGTCAAGTTTCGGGTTTCAGACGGAAGAGCAGTCAGAGCGAGAGTGGATGCACAGCGACGCAACTGGCAGCATCTTGAACCCGGAGATGTATATGCCATCCTGGCGCCACAGATGGAACAGCAGGAGTTCGAAAGGCTACATGAGGAGTATGGATTTTTGGGAGGACTCTTTGACCAAGGAGTGCGAGAAAACGATAAAGGTTGGATATGCTCCACCGGAGCCTCTGCCGATCCTCCGAAACACTTATACTTCCAGCACCTCAGCCGACTGGCCCAGCCAAACTTGCAGAGGGGCATTGTGGGACACCGAGCCCGTACGCTCATGGCCCGGCTCTTGGAGCTACTGGAGAACAAACTGTATGTCCCTGCCATGTATGCCCTATTCCCTCTGCTCGGAATGGATGGACAACGTGCCTTTCAGCAGTGGTTTGTTCGGTACTCACTGGGAATACTTCCCGATGACGCCGACCTGCCAGATGAGGTTCAGCCAGCCGCAGCGCGATCAACCAGTGGAGCAGCCGGCTCCAGCACGGACTGATCTGGGAAAGCATCTGCGACCGACTCGGCCTAAATGGAAGGCCAGCGGATCGCGACGGCGACGTGCTCGAGGCCCCGGCCTGCCGGCACAAATTGCCCTACTCTGCCTCCTCGCTCGACTGCTGAGCCCTGGGCTTCTGATCGGTGAGTTTTTCTGTACAGTTCTTTTGCGCCTAGGCAACGTAGGCTTGTCAAAGTTCGGTGGCACTGCCTCACACTGCCCACCTACTCACCCTGAGCACCAACCTTACAAAACCCCTAGGAACCCTAACAATGGCCGCCTTGGTCCCAAGTCCAAGGGTAGCTTTGGTAACTGGCTTCGTCTTCTGCTTTTCTGGATTACCATATTTTACACTTTGCAGTTAGGACTAGCCGCCAGAGCTACAGACACGAGGGTTGAGAGCAATCCACGCCTGGAACTCTCTGAAGTCCCGGAAACCCGCAACGATAGACTTCAGGGTCAGACGAACCCCAACGGCGACAACCCCTCAGTGCCAAGGAAGCCTGCCATAAAGAGGGCCTTTCGCAGAGCCCAGAAAAGGGCTGCCATGCATGGCGGCACCAAGTACAGAGGCAAATGGTTCAGTGCACAGCAGTTAGGCACCCAACATGAAGAACGACCTCCTAAGGATCGTAAACCTGTGAAGCCCAAAGCCGCCCCGCAACGACTACACTTTCTCTCTTGGAACGCCTCAGGTCTCACCCGGGATAGGCATGCAGAAGTGCAACAGTGGTTGACACTGCCGGAGGCTGCGCATATCCAGCTAGCTGTCATACAGGAAACGCACTGGCGGAATGCACTTGAATATCAAACTGGACGCTTCTCTGCTGTACACAGCGGAGGAACTAAGTCTGAAGCGGGCCTTTTGGCCCTGATCGATCGTACCCAGCATCCCCCTCACAGCGTATTCTACGAAGATGTCATTCCTGGTAGATTGCTGCACATCCGCCTGACAGCCACTGAGCCTTGCACTGACGTAATTGTTCTTTATCAACATGCGTGGTCCATTGCCAAAAACAAACAAGCCCACGAACGTAGTAAGGACATTCTCCTGGCTAAAAGGGCAGAGGTCTGGGCCAAGCTTGTCACCCTATTGAACAGCATACCAAAGCGTAACCAACTGTTGCTTTTGGGAGACTTTAACTGTAGTCTGCAACCCCATCAAAACTTAGTAGGACATGGTGTTGCGAAGCACATTAGCGCGCATGCCAGTGATGCAAGTATGCTACAATCCGCACTAGAGCAGTTTGACCTGGTTGCCCTGAACACCTGGTCCTGGCAAGGGCGACGCTCTTGCACGTACCTGCCCGCCTCGGACAAAGGTCACAGCCAAATTGACTTCGCAATGGTCAATCGACAGCAGTGTGATCAAGAGGCTAGGCAAACCAAGCCTGTGACTCTGCCCTTTGTCCCGGTGACTGGCATGCGTCACCTGCCCTTAGTGGGAAGCATACCTCTACCTCATAGGCCGCCTTGCCCTACGACACCCCCGCCAATTCCTAGGAAAACTGTAGTTGATCTTCAGCGAAAAGACCCGCACATTATGACCAAGTTTAAGTTTGCACTTGAATCTTTACAGCAAAATACAAGAGCTTCATCTCCGGATCATCTTATTACCGAAGCTTGGAAGTTAGCTCGTGCCCAGAGTGTAGAAACTAGACACAGAGTCCGCCCACCCGACCTGGCTATGCCTGACCTTAAATCACCCACCATCACCGCTCTCTGGCAGTGGCGAGCTCGAGTGTCACGCATGCAGCAGCGAGGTGGCTTGCGATGTCACATGCGTCTGTGGCTAGCACACGCCAGGCTACAAAGACTACAGAAACACCTACGCACCGCATGTAGACAACATAAAAAGATGGTGGTAACGCAACTGTTGCAAGACGCCGCTGCGCAGCCTCAGAGCCTCACTTGCGTTTTCCGTTTGCTGCGAGTGTTGGCGCCGCCTGCGCCCAGACGGAAGCTTCAAATACGTACTGCGAAGGGTTTACCATGTAGTCCTTTAGAGAGCCTTGGGTGTGTACGCGACTACTTCCACGAGCTTTATCATACAGTGTCAAGATCCGATGAGCCACACTTTTCCCTAACCCCGCCCTCTACGCCATTACAGTTTTCACCAGAGGAAGTGACAGCTGCCCTCAAAGGCCTTCCGTCGGGCAAAGCGGTGCCCGCTTCACTCCCACCTGCGGTGCTGTGGAAAGAGGCGGCCGACTTGATGGCGCCTGACATTGCAGTGCAAATTAACAGCTGGCTGGCTGATATGCGACACCCCCCGCCTGATGGTTGGCACATTGCTGACATCTTTCTCTTACTAAAGCCCGGCAAACCACCGAGTCCCTCATCCCTAAGACCCATCTCCCTTTTGCATCCAGTTGCCAAAGCAATCGCTGTTATTCTCAAGCAGAGACTGCAGCCAGCAGCGGACGCAGTCTTGTCGGAGTTGCCTCAATTCGCCTACCTGCAGAACAGATCGGCTCAGGATGCGCTGGATCGAGCGTTCACGCACTGCTGCCACGTTCAGTCCATTCTGCGCGCGCAGACAGCCACACCACAAACCCGATACCAGGGGCACACCGTCCTGCCCTGCAGAGGTGGCATCACATTAAGTGTAGATCTGCGTAAAGCGTTTGACCTAATGCCCCGAGCCCATCTCTTGACGGCCCTACAAAACTCCAAAGCCGATCCAGCGCTGGTGTGGACAATAATGTCCCTGCATTCGCATGCGCAAATGCAATTTTCCTTCGGCCCGCACAAAACCACCATTGACACAGAGAATGGTATACGCCAAGGGTGTGGGCTTGCACCCACCCTGTGGTCCATGTTTACTGCGGTGGTCATGGTTCGCCTTCTGGAACAGCTTAAGCCAGAGGAACTGTCAGCGTTTGCCGACGACTGGCTCTTTCAATGGGTCATCAATAAGCCAGAGGATGTAGTTAGAGCGGTGCGATTGGTCGGTTTTGTGCTGGATGTTTTGCATGAATTTGGGATGCAGCCGAGCTTGGACAAAACAGTCATACTTATCAAGCTTAAAGGCAGCCAAGCCAACCGAATCATCAAGGAACATGTGTCTCGCAAGCATGGCAAAGGCAGGGTCATCAAGATTGCGACCGAATCCGGACAAGTAGAGCTTCCTGTAGTTGAACAGCACACCTATCTGGGCTGTCAGCTGAGCTACACCTGCTCTGAACTTCTTACGATCAAACATAGGGTTCGGCAATCTTGGAACGTCTTTAACCGACTCCTGCCTTCACTGCGCAGCGTCGGCCTTACTCGTGCCCTCAAGTTGGAGGTTTGGCGTGCATGTGCATATGCCAGTTTGATGTATGGACTGGATTGTGTTGTGTCCTCGGGGACTGGTTCGGTTCTTATCAGCAAAACTGTAGCTAGGCAGCTGCGGATGGTCATCAAAGAACCTGTACATCTTACCAGGGAGCCTGCACAAGTACTTTTTGATAAGCTTTCCGTCATGGACCCCCTTAAGGATCTTGCCCAAAGGGCATTGCGGCGACTGCACAATTGCCGTTGCGGTGTCATGGTGTGCCTGCAACCTGCGCGGGTTCAGTCCAGATGGCAGACCCTGGACCATTACTTCTCACAACAAACACAAGACACGCAGGCGTCCGTTCTTCCAATGCTGTCACACCCGGCTGACACCCAGGCGCATCTAGTTGCAATAGCGCATCATGTGGAGCCACAGGCATGTCCGCACTGCGGGCTCTACTTTGATTCCCTCAAAGCAGTCAGAGTTCATTGCGCACTAAAACATCCCAAGCCCGAAACAGACGAAGTTGCAGTAAGCCTACCCACGCCAAAGCGTACACAACAACAGATGCGTACTGATTACATGTGTCATGCCCTGAATGGCCTTCCCACTTGTAAGCACTGCCAGTGGAACTTCACTTCCTGGCCGTCCTTCTGTCAGCACTTTGAGCGCAAGTGTTGCTGTGCTACACAGTCAGTCACAGCAGGCATCGGACAAAATGGAAAGTTCAGCAGCGTCAAATGCATCCGTGCCATCCCTATCTACTCGGATTTGCACACCTTCGGATCCTGCAGTCACGGCCATTGCTTCCCTGAGTGATCTATGGTGCCTGCTGTCAGCCGATCTCGTTCAGCTTTTATCGCATACGGATTGGAGGTCAGTTGCGAAGCACTTTAGGGCGAGCGATCAGAACCACTGCATGCTTTGCAATCAGTGGCTTGCAAAGCCCAACTATCTCACGAGGCATGTCAGTGTGCAACATCCTGCTTTGCGCACCGTCCTCAAGGAGCTGCCGAGCTGGCTAGCAGAGCGTAGAGCCACAGTCTTCAGCCCGTGTCAGTGGTGCCGCCAGGACTTCAGTGTGCATCACCACAGCAGGGCTAAGCATGTGCAGTCCTGTCCCACACTCATCCGGACAGGCCTCTTAATCCTTATGCACAAAGCCTTTCAAGCCTCGCAGGAAACCAATGGCCGGCATGGAGGCGGAACTGCAGGACGAGCCCGGGACGGAGCTGTTGTCTGCCCAGAAGCAGATGGCGATGATCCAGAGCATGGCCAAGGCCAACCCCACCGGCAACCTGGGAGCGGGAGCGCAGCAAGTTCAGCAGGAGGAGGAACGCCAGAACACCTCGGAGCCTTCAGCCCCCTCAGCGCCGACGCCGTCGCAAATGGACACCAGCAACCGGGACCACAAGCGCGGCTACCACACCGAGCAGCAGAAGGAGACCCCATCCGGCAACGGCAACGGTCACGGAAAGGGCCCCAACAAGTGGCCGAAGACCAACTACAAAGGGGGACACTCCACCGATGGTTCCGGCTGGGGAAGCCACAAGAACGACTACTGGAGCAAGCAGTCATGGGACAAGGGCCAGGACAAGGAAACGGCCCAATTGGCCAAGCTCTGCACCTCGATGGCTCGCCTCGTTCTTCGTCACGAGGACCAACAGTCGATCGACCGCTCGGAGAAGGGATTTATTCTTTTCTGCCAAGCGAAGGGACTCCTCTCCATTGTCCCGGATTTGAAGAGGACGGCAGAAGCCTGGACGCAGCAGAAGGAGCAGACACCGGAGCAACTCACGCTCCCCATGCGGTCAGCTCTCCTGCACCAGCTCGTGGAGGTCTGGTACACCAGGATGGAGGCGGTTCCCCAGACGGAGGAATCGCGCCAGAATGCCCGGGAAATGCTTATCCTGGACAGCTCCGGCAACGTACCCTATCTCCAGTACAACCGGGAGGAGCAGAAGCTCGAGATCAAGAAGGACCGCGACCCAATGACACTGGAGCGCACCCTCGAAATGCTCCTGGAGCTCAAGGACCTGGTGTTGCTGCCGCTGACCACGCTGCGGTTCCACGCGGCCCGACGCAGGGCCTTGCAGAATCCCGGGGAGATCGTTCCCATGATGCTGGAGGTGGGCCTCCGGACTTCGGAGGCGGATCGGGCATGGAACATCCTGGCTCGACTGAGCCACAGTGGAGCCTGCAGAGCAGTGGCGCTGAGCATGCGCCAAGAACGCCTAGGCCGCTCCATGCTCGCCCAGAACCTGCAGAAGATTCTCGAGGAACTGTCAGGAGCCTAGCACTAGGGAACACCAGTAACTTCTGCTACAGCAATGCCTCCTTTCTTGCCATTGCCTGGGTGCATTGTTTGCTTATGCAAGGGATGACTCGGAGCTCTAGTGAGGGCCTGCTTGGCACGCGCCTGCTTGCGGTTCTTGCAAGCCTCAAACGGAGGAAAGGTGTGATTCATCTCTGGCAGCAAATACCTTGGAGAGCAATCCACATAGGCTGGCAGTCTCCCACGCAACAGCATGACATAGTTGACTATCTTCGGTTCCTCCGACCTTCGCTGCTTTCGGATGCAGTTGAATGCCACTGGGAGTCACGACTGGAGCAAGATAACCAAATTCTTAAGATTGAAGATGGTAATACTTGGCCTTTGTGGTTGCCTGATCCCCTAAGACCCACTTCACTGCCCCACATTAGCCTACAAAGCCTAGTCGATGCATGGCACCAGCATCAGGAAGGGCGACAAGGCTTGCTTAGTGTTCCGCCTGTCTTGCTGCTACAGGTCAATCGTTTTGGCGTAGGTCACCCCGACTCCCTAGGTAAAACCTCTGCTAGGGTAGTTCCCGAACCACGGGTTGTAATTCCCAAGTTCCAGAACGATCTGCGGCAGCCCAATGCGCTGGAAGTTGAGCTGGTCTCCTTCCGACTTGCAGCAGCATTGGTGCATGAAGGCTCCGATGCGAGCTCGGGGCACTATAGGGCGGTGCTGTTTGACAGCAGCATGCAACTTCTCACTCAGGACGCTGTACCCGCAAGCCGCATCTGCAGCGAGACTCAGTGGTTTCACATTTATACCAATTGTTATGCCTTTCTGTATGTGCACTGCCCTGATGCCACTAGTCCCTAATTTGGGTTATAAGTGCCCCAGTCTGTGCCAATGCCGAACAGCATAGTCAGGTCATTCCTCACACTTGTACAGTTGTGTGTGATTTTTGCTCAACGTACTCCGGCACTCTACACAGACCACGGCGCTCTCTTCTTTGGGGCCCTCGGGCCGGGAGAGCGTCGTAGAACATTTTGGACTTCACAGAAGGTGGAGTGCGCGAAAGCGCCGGGATGCAGATCCTGCCCCAAAACTTGGACCGCCAAGCGAGACATCTTCTTGCTGCGTTCGGAAGAAAGCAGTAGCAGTAGCAGTAGCAGTAGCAGTAGCAGTAGCCCTTGCAGTAGTAGTAGTAGGAGTAGTAGTAGTAGTAGTAGTAGTAGTCGTGGTCGTGGTCGTGGTCGTGGTCGTGGTAGTGGTAGTGGCGTGGTCGCGGTCGCGGTCGTGGTCGTTGTGGTCGTGGTCGTCGTGGTCGTGGTAGTGGCGTGGTCGTAGTTGTAGTAGAGGTAGTCGTAGATTTTGTAGTTGTAGTTAGAGTAAGAGTAGTAGGAAAAGGAGTAGTAGGAGTGGTAGGAGCATCCCAGTAGCAGGAGTAGTAGGAGTAGTAGTAGGAGTAGTAGTAGGAGTAGTAGTTGGAGTAGTAGTAGGAGTAGTAGGAGAAGTAGAAGTAGTAGGACCAGTAGGAGTAGTAGGAGTAGTAGTAGGAGTCCTACAATTGGTAGGAGTAGTAGGGGCAGAAGGAATAATAACTAGTAGGAGTAGTCCTACTGACCTACTGGCAGTAGCAGCCGCAGTAGAATTTACAGTATCCTTATGGGAGGGGGCTCTAAGGTGGATAGATAACTTGCTAATTACTAATCCCTAGTTCTCTCTCGTGCTCCCTAAGGTGCCCTTAAGGTTTTGTAAGGATCCCTTGTACCCTCCCCTCTTGAACCACCCCCCCTTAAGGACCGGAGTTAGGAGCAGTTGTAGTAGCAGCAGCAGCAGCGGCAGCAGCGGCAGCAGCAAAAAGGAGTAGCAGCCGCAGCAGTAGCAGTGGTCTTAGTTGTCGTCGTAGTCGTAATTTTTTGCAATTGCAGCATGAGCAGCAGCAACAAGCTTGACAAGACCTCAGAAAAAGTGCATCCGGTATCCATTGGACCTGAAGGCATGACCACCAGTCGTGTCGTTGTTTAATGTCCGATCCAAAGTCTTTTAGTTGAATTGCATGAGTTCTGGCGAAGCCAGACTCTTCAGCACTCACGTTCCATGATCTGAGACTTTACGCTCGCGAGTCTATTTTGTAGTTCTGTTGTCCGGCTGCACATAGCACCAGCTTGGTTCAACGAAGATTGTTTGCCAGGTCCGAGCTGCTCGCTTTGATAGGGACGATCCACAAGCGTTTTGTTGGATGAAGCACATTGGCTTTGAAGCGCTACATCCTTCCATGGACAGTCCAGTGGACAGTTGGACCTTTCAGATTACGTTGTGCAACGAAGGATTCAATCCGAGTTCCGGCTGCGACAGCCTCCTCCGGCAGAGTCAGACCAAAAGCGGATGCCGGCCTGTAACATGACGCTTGGGTCTTTCAAGGGTTAAATAGCAACGCTAGTAGCAAGAAGTGCCATTACCATGACCATCAGCATGACCATGACCATCAGCATGACCATGACCATCACCATCACCATCACCATCACCATCACCATCATCAGTAGCGTCAAAATCCAAAACCATCGGCAGTCCATCGCCGATGACGACAATCGTATTAATGCACAACTCGCATGTCTCTCTAAGGTAGCTAGTTGGCTAGATGGGTATACGCGATATGATGCAGAGAGCATCTCGTTGTGTTCATCATGCTTTCATTAAGGTGTGGGCGCGGCTTTTCTGTCGTGGGAGAGGTCTGGAAGATAGCAAGGCTAACAGGCCATTGGGATGCCTTTGGGGTTTGGCCTTTTGGGGTCGTAAACACAATTTTCAGCTTTGGTGTGTTGACTTGCTTCCGGTCTTTTGAAATACGATTTGCTCCCTTCCGCAACATAGAGCAGTGACATTGAATGAGAATGCCTCGAGCAAGAGCGACTATAAAGGTTGTTGCTTCATTGAACGTTCACACGCCAGCCTCTCAGTGCGAATGCACACATCTTGAGTGTCTGTGAGCTGCTTGAAGTTGCGAACTTCTTGTTCCTCCTCCTCCTCCTGCTCTGGACCCCATAATTCCTAGAAGAATTGCCGCTGATCTTCACGGCACCTTATCGAGGAGCCCGGCCTGGGTACAGTGGACCCTTTCCCATGCTCCTTGTCATAAGCATAGGGACCCTTATGGGGGTAGGGGGGAGGGGGGTGGGGGGGGGCTTAACACCTGCTGTAATAAGGACTTGACAACGCCTGTTTCGGAAGGAAAAGACCCCTACCCTCCCTCCCCCGTCCCCCCTATAAGGGTCCCTCTCACATGAGTGCCCGGGTCCGCGCAGCCGTTTCAGCTGGGCCCTTTGCCATGGTAAAGCAGAAGCTGAGTTCTCGTCCCGCACCCATCAGACGATGGAGCCAAGTGGAGTTCAGACATCTGCCACCAGAACTTTGGAGTGGCTAGACTTTCAACCCTTGTTCCAAGTGTTCACAGAGATTGCTGCCTGAGCAATGGGCGCCTGTGGCCACAAGCCGATATCGCAGGCACCGTTGAAAGGAACACAAGCCACAACTTAACGGGGGGCCTCGAAAACCTGAGCCCGACGAGCCATGCCTCGCCCCTTACCCTTGTGCGAAACAAAATATGTGAAACAATAAATCCTGAATCCTGAGCCAAGCACCCTAAATCCCAAAGCTCGAGACCCTAAACCCCTAAACCCCTCAAACCCGAAACCCCTTAACTCGAAACCCTGAAACCCGAAACCCTAAATCCCAAAAGACCGTGCCAGTGCGAAGACGAAAGCGAAGAGTCCAGCGCATCGGAGTCCCAGGCGCTCAGGTTTTGAGCATTCGGCACCAAGTCGGGGTTTCAGGTAGAGGGTTTAGGGTTCAGGGTTTAGGGTTTAGGGGAGGGGGTATAGGGTTTAGGGTTTCGGGCGGTGAAAGAGTCGAAAGAGTGGTGAAAGATTTAGGATCCACTGCCCAGGATTGAGGGTGTGGCGTGTTGAGGCGTTTCCTTGCTGATCGTCAGCTCCTTGTTGCAGTAACATCAACGCTTGAGGGTCTGTGCTGGTGCGACGAATTTGGCATTAGTCAGTACTTCACTGGGACCAATCGTGCTCTCTCGCAGTTTTGACAGGACGTGTGATACGGCAGTGAAGCTGGGAGTTATTCTGAAGGTTATTCTTGCTGCCAGGCAAGCGATTCTGAGACCTCCAGCTTGGCGGTGGAGAGTGGCGCGGCATATTTTGATCTTCTAGTGTTCGGTCTTCACACCCTCGGTTGGGAACCGAAGCTGAGACTACTTGGCCCAACATGTGAGCGGTTGTTGTTGCTTCGCACACGATTGCATATCCAAGGTGGGGATCCTGCTAGCTGTTGTGCCAGGCAACGCCACGGCAGTTCTGTCCCGCCGTTGTTTTCGTGCTGTCTGAAGATTGTTTGCGCAGACCATGGCATGACATCTTCACGGGCTGCCAGCCTCGACAGGTACTGCTATTGGTTCAACTGTGGTGACAGCCACCATCGAGTGCGCCGAGCTGTGTTCACTGCAAGGGATGTGGTTCTTTGCAAGTGCTCTTCTTCTGACGACCCAACCACGATTGTGGTAGTTTTGGTGGTTGCGCAGGTGATGACGATGATGCTGCTGCTGCTGCTGCCTGTTGCCACACGAATGGGCTGCTGCTAAGGGAGGGCAGTTGGATCTCTCAGACTGCGACCGTCAAGTCGTTCCCGACGGAATGCGCCTTTGCACATCCCAAACATGCCGAGGTAGGCTCTGCTCAATGTGTCTGGAACTTCAAAAGTGAATCTCAAGATGCTTCCGGGACGGGACATCGAGACCATGTGGTGCAATCGTCCCTGATTCCTGATCTTGGTGCCATGTCGTCAACCCCGAGATATCTACCAGCCCGAAACACGCCACAAGAAGCCGCTGCCACAGACTACTTAAAGGAACATGGGACTTAGTAACTAGGGTCATAAGTAGGGTAACTATACTTATAACCCCAATTACGGCAATTACAACCTTCCTCACTAAGTCCCGTAATCCTCCCAGTTGAAGCCCAAATGCTGCGCAGG